ACTTTTATCAGTTTGACTGAGTTACAGAATTAGTCAATAAATCAGGGGACATGATGAGTAAGCAAAATTGTTTACAGCTGTTCATATCTCTGAGTGTACCCTGACAGAGAGTTACCTGTGGAAGGAAGCAGCTTCACAGAGCATGGCTCTTTGCACCAGAGAAGAATACCAGCTACATAGTATATTGGATATAGAGCCAAACATTTAGTCAGGAATTTCCAAGTTCAAATCCAGCTTCAAACATTTATTTGCTGTGTGACTATGGAAAAGTCCCTTTAACTTCTGACAGCCTGTTTCCTCACCTGTAAAATGGAAATAATAAGGGCATCTGCCTCTGAGGGTTGTTGTGAAAATAAAATGAGATATTATTTGTATTTTGCAAACCTTAAAGAACTATATAAATGCTAGCCATTATTATCATTAATGGCAGTACTTTTTAAACTGTGAGTCACGACACCATAAGGGGGTCGTGAAAAATTTGGCAAGAGTAAAACATTTCTGAATGCATAAAGATAAAAAATTAATTAAAAATCAAACACATAATGAATCTGAGGTGTTTCTGGCAGTGCTTGCCTGTGTTACATCATGCAGCTTCACTGCATCCTTGGTTCTGAAAATAAAGCATTCGCACTTTGCAATGTGCATGGCCTCAGGCCATATAATGCCTATGCTTGCTGCCAAAATGAAAAAGGGAAAAAGTTTAAGAAGCCCTGGCCTAAAGAAAAGACTTCCAGGCAATAAAATTCCCAGAACTGTAAGTTGCTCCTTTGCTAGATGTATATCCTATTCATATGTCTCACTATCATTGTACTCTAAATTTAAGCCCACTCTCCCCAGGACCTTGTATGCATAGGAGGAAAATAAGTAATAAGCCACCCTCTGGGGACCTGGCTCACCCACGCAAGCAAGAGTTCAAGGAAGGAGGCCTGGAATGGATGTTACACTATAGGGTCTCTGGGATAATTTTGGAGCCCTTTGCATTTTCACAGATCCACCGAAGAGGTTCTCCATCCACTACTCATGTATTAAGATATGCTGGTTTTGCAGAGATCTATTAAAGAAAAATTTGAATTTTTCTTTCATTCATTTTAAGTTATAACTGGACAATAAGCTTCCTATATAAGTCAACCCAGTTTCTTTAAGATAATTTTTGTGCATTTAAATGTTTGAATACTAATATCTGCTATAATACAGAATCCTTATTCAAATGGGGTATTGTTGTTTGTTTGTAAAACACTTACAATACTGCCTGACATGTAGTAAGCATTTAATAAATCTTCTTCACTTCTCCCCAGGCACCCCGCTGCCAGTAGGGGTGGGAGTTGAGAAAGTAGCACTGAAGGTGTTGATACAAAACAATTAACAAATAACATCTTATATGATTATTAAAGTATGTGGTATGGACATAAAGACTCTCAGAAGAAGACAGATTAATGTGAGCTGGAGTAGCTAGTGAAATCTTCCTGGAAGAGATCATTGCCTCATCTAAAGATAGTCCTTCCTTCCTGGGAACTCTTCCAGTACCTTAAACCGCCAGTATGCATTTTCACGTTCTACTTTATTACAGTCACCAGTTCTCCTTGTATTTCTCCCCAACTATAATATACGTTGTTTAAGAGTAGCATGGTGGTATGTATAATATTCCTTAAAGTTTGTAAACCTCCTGATAAGATTTCAAAATCAAGACCGTTACTTAAGACAAGAATAAATAATCAGTTAATTTATTTTTTATTGGAATGATAGATGTTATGGTTGTTCTTTCTCCTAAATTATATCTTGTAGAAACTGTTAGTTTCTGTACTCTCTTATGCAAATGTACATCCTATTCTGCAAATAGCCTCTTTCTAAATATATATATACATATATATACAAATATATATCCATCTATGTAAATTATATTGTACAGCACTATACATCATGATATTTCCTATATGTAATTACTTTCTATACACCATCGTGCTATTTTCATATATCCTATTATCTTGTACTAGTACAATATGGTGATTTATATGCCCACCTGATGATCCAAAGAAAAGAAAAACAGAAGCAGACCCTTCCTATTGGCCTGAGGATCTCTGTATATACTGGAAATAAGCCTAACATGGAGTTAACATGAAAGTGTGCAATTCAAGATTGAGGACTCCTTAGAAACTGATCAATCACTACTATAATAAATTATTTATAATTAGTTGATGCAACTTTCATGGACACCTCTTTAAAGTCAAATTATAAACGGGGTGAACAATGAAGTGGGGCAGATTACCTCAATCTTGATCTTTGTCTCAAAAGGTACTGGATTTCCCTGTTACACAAGCCTGCTGCTTACCCCCGAGCCAAGCATAGTGGAAACCTAGGTTGCCAAATGACTGATGATCCTTGACTATCTGTGTGTCCTTCTTCTATTTTCTTAATTAAATGGTTCAAGCCTTGTAGTGAACGTGTCAAGTTTTTCCTTTCCCCAAAAGATTTGGGAAATCTGGTGATGACACAGACAAAAACCTCATCTTATTCAAATTTCTATCTCCACTTTGTGATTATACATAGTGTCTTCTACATAGTAGTGAAAAAGCATTAGATTTGGACTTAGACTCCCTTGGTTTGAATTCTTCATTTTATTATTTACTGTCTATGCAAACTTAGGGGACACAGTCTTTCTCTATTTCAGGCTTCTCATTTGTAAAATGAGAATGTGAAGGGTTGAGAATATTGCAAGGATCCCCTTCAACTTACCAACTATATACCTGTGTATGGAGGAGAAACATGCCACCAATGCTACAGGGTGATATATGTCTTTTGGTGGTATAGTTAATCATTTCCTACTTGTCTAATGTGACATAGAGTCTTTGTCAGATGGTGCTCTACTATTTTTATGCTGCTGCTGCTGCTGGACTACCATCCATCTGATCACTCCTAGGCTTCACCAAGTACATGATGGTGGAGTTTCCCTCAATTTCCAGTTTTAGGTCAGATCCTTAGCTGAGGTACTACCTCTTCCCCTACCTTCACTGTTCATTCATGTGTACCTTTTTATGTTTCTCTATGGTCTTTTTTTTTTTAAAGGAATGCTTGGAAGTTCTCTATTTCATTAAAGATTCATTTTTTTTCTCCTGTAGCATTATACCATTTTTGCTAGGTAAGTTATTCTTGGATATAAGTTCATATTCTTTGCCTTCTGGAATATTATATTGCAAGTTATTGACTCCTTTAGTGTAATGACAGAAAAATCTTGTGTTATCCTAACTGTGGCTCCTCAGTAATTATTTCTTTCTGGTTGCTTGAAGCATTTTTTTTTCCTGAAAGGTCTGAATTTTGGCTGTGGTGTTTCTGGGAGTTTTCATCTGGGGGTTTCTTTCAAGAGGTTATCAGTAAATTTTTTCTATTTCTACTTCACACTCTGGTTCTAAGAGGTATGGGCAGTTTTCTCTTAAGATTTCTTGAAAAATGATATCTAGATTCTTATTTTGGACACAGCATTCATATATTCCAGTGATGTTTAAATTTTTTTCTCCTCAATGTTTTCTAGGTCAGTTGTTTTTTCTATATCTTACATTTTCTTCTCTTTTTTCATTCTTATGATATCATTTTAATATTTCTTATTGTCTCATGGAGTCACTGTCTTCTATTTGGTCCGTTCTAATTTTCGAGGAATTTTGTTGTTTGTGCAAGGTTTTATACCTCTTTTGCCTACTTCCTGACTTCGGATTTTATGTTAAGGGCACATCTGAAGGGAAGGTCTGGGACTCTCATTACTGCTTTCTTGAAGTATTGTGTTGTTTCAGGATCTTAGGGACAAGATTTTGTACCTTTTTGACAAGTTAATTTCCTTCTTAATTCTTTCTTCCATTGATTTAATTTATTTCCATTTTTTCTCAAATGCTCTCATTATATTTATAAAAACTGTTTTTAAAACTCTTGCTTCATCTCTGCCAGTAATTCTAGTTGAGTTTGTGCCCAACTGATGTTTATCTCTAAGGCATTTCCTGTAGATATTCCGGAGTCATTCTCCTCTATATTTGTGTCTTGAACTTCTCTGCCACCATAATTATCCTTTATGGTGAAATTCTTTTTTTTTTCTTTTGCCTATTCTTCCAGTCTAGTTCCTGACCTTGGACTTGATGTTAGGGTTGGACTCTGCCACATGTCTAGAATGAAAGGCAAGAGTGGTTCCCATTGTTGCTTTCTTGGGATATCGAGTGCCTTGTTCCAGGATCCCAGGGACAGGCTGAGGAAAACCTGAAACCTTTCAATGTTCCCAAAGTGGTCTGATCCAAGGCAAAGACTGATAGCTTAGCACTTAGAGTTTTTGCTTAAGTGATGTGAAATTGTATAGAATATTAGATCCTAAGATTTTCCTCTCTTGTACATTTTATTCCTTACATGAACATAGGACAAAGAGAATTCTGCTGTGGGCTGGATGAGTAGAGAAGGTAGAGGAAGAGGGATGAGGGGACTGACTATACTTACATAAAAAGAACTTTATTACATGTAACATTGTTAAGGCTTTTTAGAATTCATAGTAATTTGAGGCACAACGTAACTTACTGTTAAGTTCAATTCATTGTGTTTAATATCGGCTGTGTGTGGATCATTTCAAAAAAGTCTTTAGTAAGGCATCGACATAGAGATGAACCCTGTAGTGGGCATTAGAAAGGGGAAAAATCATTACCCATTGGATAAGTAGTCAAAGGATATGAAGAGTTTTGGAAGAAATGTAAATGGAATATTGAGGGGAAAGCTGACTTTTCTCAGGACTTTCCTCATCCTGGGTCTTCTAATCTGAGATGTCTGTAGAACTTCTAGATGTTTCCCTTCTCTGCCATAGCTCAGTCCTCCTTTTTGCTTATCAAGGATGTGCTTGAAATGCTGTGAATATTCCAGTCTCTGAGATCCAGAATATTATAATCTCTTCTCTCTTCTTTTGAGATAGCTTTTTCCTTTTTCACAAACCTCACAGATCCAGACCCTTAAAATCTGTT